CTGCCGCCGCCGCCGCTGCTGCTGGCCCCGCGAGCAGCTGGGCCCGCGGCGTCAGGTCAAGTTAGGTCGCCGGCCGGGGCGGGGGCGGTGGCGGCGGCGGCGGCAGCAGCACCATGGCTGCAGCTGGAGGCTGGGGCCGGCGTGCAATTACCGCCAACAGTTAACATACTGCAGGTTATGTCCGACGGCGGCGGTGACGGCGCTGCCGCGGCGGCGGAGGCTGTTCCGACAGCGGCGGCAGCCACGGCGGCGGTGGCGGCGGGGGTGGCGGCGGGCGGCGGCGGTCATCGGCCTGCTCCGCCGCCAGTAGTGGTCCAAATCGTTTTGCAAATGGTGCAACAAGGCAATGAGCCGTTATCGCAGGCGACTCTGGATCAAGTACAACAGCAGCTGAATGGCTTACTGGCTGGTGTACGGCAGCAGCACTAGTGGCGGCGCCGCCACCCGCACCAGACGGCGACTCAGACGGATCAGCGCCGGGCCCTGTGTGGGCAGTAGTACTACTATTGCCTCTGCGGCAGCAGCAGCAGCAACTCAGGCTTGCCTTCGTCCGGGCCGACAGGCAGACAGGGAGGAATTCCTGTGTTTTTTGTATTCCTATGTAAATTACATCATATGCCTTCTTCCTGTGTTAAAGGAACTGAGGCGTAAGGTGAAAGGGTTGGAGGTGTGACGTCCAGAACTGAACCGAAGATAGTTGAAGAAAATATCTGGAAATATCTTTGAAGATGTTCATTGAAAGTAGATGGAGCTTGGCGCCAAAGCGATGAGAAATAGAGCCGTCGCTGGGAAGTGGCGCCGATGTGGACCACTGCTACTGGGTGGTGGTGTGCAGCTAGGGGCGTTTCTGTGTGTGTATGCGCGCGCCTCTTTGTATGTATGTATTTATGTGCTGCGCCGTGTCCGGGTGCGTGCGTACGTGTGTTCTCTGTGTTGGGGGAAAAGAGGGTGGGTGAGTGCTGAATGGGCGGCGGCGGCGGGTACGGCACACAACCATCTCTCTCCATCAACATCTGGACCCCTAGGGGACTGGCAGCCCCTAGCACACAGCGCAATCTGATTTCACAACAGAAACACCAAGTTGTGTTTGGTTGGGCAAATATATCTTTGCTTATACTTTACCTTCTTCCTTTCCGCATGATGTGTATAGTTTTCAATTTTGCATGCATGTATGTATGTATGTATGTATGTATGTATGTATGTATGATGTGTGAAACAGGGGGGTGTATCTTCGCCCGTGGCAGCTACCCTGCGAAACCCTGCCTTCCCCGGTATTTCGGGGCACCCTCATCCAGTCACCCTAGTCAACTTCTCAGTGGATCGCTCAGGTTCCGCACCCACCACCAGCATCCAACGGAATCTGCCGGGTCGACAGCGGCCCAACTCCGTTCCTGGTCGGCTCGCAGGTTAACTTTATCCCAGGTCACCACCGTCCATCAACTAGGGGCGCAATGCCTTCCACCATCGGAAGGACTTTGACCCTAATGGGTATCGATCCCGGGATCTCCCGGGGGCAATGGTCGCGCCTTACCAGTAGTGCCAA